CAACCCCGCTGTTCCATGATCCCATGATCCAGGGGGTTGGACTCGGTGGCCTTCCTGGCCCCTTCCAACCACGCTGCTCCATGATCCTATGATCCTGGGGGTTGGACTCGGTGGCCTTCCTGGCCCCTTCCTATGATCCAGGGGGTTGGTCTCGGTGGCCTTCCTGCCCCTTCCAACCCCGCTGTTCCATGATCCCATGATCCAGGGGGTTGGACTCGGTGGCCTTCCTGGCCCCTTCCTATGATCCAGGGGGTTGGACTCGGTGGCCTTCCTGGCCCCTTCCAACACCGCTGTTCCATGATCCCATGATCCAGGGGGTTGGGCTCGGTGGCCTTCCTGGCCCCTTCCAACCCCGCTGTTGCATGATCCCATGATCCAGGGGGTTGGGCTCGGTTGCCTTCCTGGCCCCTTCCAACCCCACTGTTGCATGATCCCATGATCCAGGGGGTTGGGCTCGGTGGCCTTCCTGGCCCCTCCCAGCCCCGCTGCTCCATGATTCTCTGATCTCTCATTCCCATGGTGGTGCCCTTGAATAAGAAGCAGGTCTTGCACATTGGTGGCCAGTGGCCACTGGTTGCCCACCTTGATTAAAAAGAGCCGCCACAAACACTTAGAAAGGCACCACACAAAGAGGATGGGAAGAAAGGTTTCTTTCCACTCAAACTGGAGAAGGGATGGATGCAACCTTTTGGTGGCGTTCTCCACATGGCGGACAAGCATCGCTTTTGCCTCTGCACAGTGAGCCATGAGGACAGCAATGTGAAGCTCTTGGTCGGGAGCGGGGAAGAGCATGGGGATGCTCTTTGGGGAGCTCAGTCCCCGCCGGTCATCAGGTCCCAAAGCCAGCAGCAGCAAAGGGCTGTACAACAACCATGCAGGCAAGCTGCCAGAGTTGAGTCCCTCTTTTTCCGGTCTTCCACAACGTAAACTGTACCGTGTTGGCATCCCGAGGGCAAAGAATGAGCTGGGCAGACCTGGGGTGCGTTGGGTGAGTAACCAGGTTGCTGGGTGCCCGATGGGGCTGCAGGACTGTGACTCATGGCAGAGGCAGGATATTTCTCAGCTATGGACGATGCCAGCCGGGTGGCTAAATCGTTGCTTGTCTTGGAGAGCCCCCTACTGCTGCTTCATAGGATATGTCTCTGCCATGTAGGATTTCAGTCCTATTGCTATTCATTCCTTATCCTGGAGAGCCCCCTACTGTCGCTTCGAGTAGAATAATGGGCGGACAGACTGCTTTGGAGAGAGAAAGGCCTTCAGGTCAAATGTCCAGGAGAACTCGCCGCCAGGATGGAAACACCAGCCAGACAAGTCCACGTCAAGCTGGGGAGGAAAGGGAAAAAGGGGTGGCTGAATGGAAAGAAATATAGCCAGCCTCACGTCTGTGCTACCGGGGGAAAGGATTGCGCTTGGAATGTGTGAAGCCGCTTCGGAACCACTGAAGATCCGTGGTTGGTACAGTGGTATCTTGGCTCACGAACGCCTCAGTTCATGGCCAAATTGGGTTGCAAACAGAAATTTCCTAAAAATTTTGCAGCAGGTTGTGAACTCTGCATCGGGTGATGATCGCGAGCTTGCCCGCCATCCCTGCATGGGCGCAATCGAGGCCATGCTGGGGGGGGGGGGGGGGAGATGGCCTGGAATAGGACAGAGATGGGGGGTTGTGTGCAGCAGGACAGAGATGAAGGGTTTTGTGGAAGAGAATGTGCTGCAGGACTTGGGAAGGAGAAGGGAATCACAGCTAGAGAAACCTACATCAGCCTGGAGAAGAAAGCCACAGGATGGCCGTCGGATAAACGAATGGGCAAGCAACCCAGGGAAGGGATGCTGTTACCAGAACGGGGGTTTCGGAAATGGCTTCATAAGACCAGCACTGCTCCCAGTGAGCATTCAGCTCTCCTCTGTCTCAGCCAAGCTCTTCTTCCTCCCCCATCCCCGCCTTGAAGGGCCGAAGACGTTGCACGCGCAAAGCAGGGGCTCAACCACCAAGCCATTGCCCATTCCCTAAACAGAAGGTTCTAGTCCTCAGGGTTCTGAATAAAGGCCTGATAGGTAAGAGGAACCTGGCGAACTCCTTCACACCCAGTCGCGTGGTTGGTGTGCTGAGGAGCATGGGAGAGAGAGTGCTCTGGCACTTGGCTCCCATGGGCAGCCGGCTGGCCACCAGACCAGCCCAGCTCTGCACTGCATGGAGCGCGGCCTCATCCAGCGTGGCGCTCTCCAGGCCCATGGAGCTCAGTGCTGCCTGCGTGGGGAACGCCACACCTGCACCAGCCCGGAGGCTGGGCTCCGCGTGGGGCAGCGTCCAGGGATGGACAGGGTGAAGGCGGAGGGGAGACCGGTGGGGTCGGGCCCCCAGACACCAGCAGTCTTGCTGGAAGCTGGCAGCTTTCCCGGCAGCCGCCAGGGGTTGTGCGAGGCTCTCCATCCGGAAGAGCACACGGAAGGGTGTGGGGCCGGGGGAGAGGCCGCGCCCGCTGGAGAGCTCCACTGCCTGGCTGGGGGCCCGCGGTGCAGGATCCCGTCCTGGGCCGAGGCCTCCACCCCGGCAGAGGTGCGAGCCGGGCGGGCTTTTGGTCTCGTGCCGGTTCTCTTCTGGCCTTCTGGCATGTTCGGCTGCACGGGCACCGGCTGGCGGGTCTGCCACGGAAAGGCAGCCCTCCGATCGCTCGGCCGATCGCTCGCTCGATGCGTGCCCGCTCCGGATCGCGCACTCACCGTGAACGTCACCG